TCATACAGAATTAGGGCATTCCTTCTTCCCTCTGCATTTAGTTCTTAGCTTGGAGACCTCTGAGCACTAAGTGAAAAAAAAGATGCTTACTTATACCATATACTTTTTTTATTTTTAGATAGCTGGCACTCCATCTTTGGCCAAAGCTGTATGATGTGATACAGTTAGTGTCACATCTAAAATATCTGTTCTGAGGGGAATTAGTGGAAACAACAGAAGGAGGAGCTACACCTTCTTCCTTGCAGCTGTACAACCTCCTGGAGTCCCTGGTGAGGGCTGCTGAGAGACCCTTCCATGGTGTCCCTACAGAAACTCTACTCAAAATAGGGAATTTCAGTGAAGAGGGATCTCTGGCTGCTGGATGCTGTTATCTACGTTGTATAAAATCCAACATTTGTGCCTCTGTGCTACGGTAACGTGGTCCTTTTATACTAAAAAAGAAGAGAAAATTTCCTTTTTCTTTTTTTTTTTTTAATGTATGGTATTGTATTATTTCTTCAAACAATTGTGGAATGATCAGAAATTGAAAAAACAAACCAAACCCTAACTGTATTTCATATCCTATTACACGATTAGCATTGTACGTAGCTCTTCCCAGAAATGCCTGTAACCAAAGAAATGAGACAATAGCTTGCTTTTAAGCGTAATCTTAGCACACCCCCCACAAAAGCAAGGGCAAGGGACAAAAAGATTTAACTTTCTTTTTGGTGAATTAAAAACAAGGCATCACTAAGTAATGGCCTTTTTTTGCTAAAGGTGAAGACAGCCAAACCACACGTTCACTTTCTGAATAAGCTTTTAGACAGATGAACTAGGTAGAAATAAATTTACTTTGGCTTGCTGTGTCAGCCTCCTACGTGTTAAAACTGGATCTGTGCAGGAGGGAAGGCTCTAGTTTTGGGGTGCTGGGATGGATGGGAATATGTGCTGGTTCTTGTGGCTTTTTCAAGCAGGAGGTGTGCAGAGGACAGCAGCAGAGAGGGTGACACCAGGAACTGTATGGGACTGGCCCTTTCCTGAGAGCTTCCAAACCTGTACGTGGGGCTTGAAGAGTTCAAGGACTGAGTCCTGAGTATTGAAGATCTCCAGGTATGTAGAAGATCTCCAGGTATGTAAATCGCATTGATTTTGACAGCTTGGGCACTCTTGAGTGTGGGCTTATCCTGTGAGAGAGGTACAAAGTGCAGGCAGCACATGGAGCTGGACCTAGAATCATGGAATGGTTTTGGTTGGAAGGGACCGTAAAGATCATGGAGGTCCAAACCCCTGCCCTGGGCAGGGACACCTCCCAGGAGACCAGGTTGCTCAAAGCCCCATCCATCCTGGTCTGTCTTACTTGCTGATTCCTTTGTCACTTGGTTTCTCACTGGTGTGGAGCTACCAATGATATCAACTATTACTATATCAATAGTCCTGTATCAGCTACTCTATAGGACTGTTATATCAAGTGCAGATGGAGGTTACACAAGGTAACACACTGTATTTAGAGGTGGAGGTTGTATCTTTGGCAGGTGAGGATTCATCAGTGAAATTCAGAGTAAGGTTTAGGTTTTTAAAGAAAACTCGAAACTCAAATTGAAAGGCGAAGTATCTTACAAATGACGGGTGTAAAACTCTGCTTGGCCTTGACAGGAGCCAGGTATGGTTCAGAGGACATGAATTCTTTTGATCTGTGATGAGGCAAAAGCTGTGTTGCCATTTCTTGGAGTTCTACAAGGAAAGTTTTGCCCAGGTCTGTGTAAATCTTTCCCTAATAATTCTTTCTAGATGCTGAATTAAGTCCGTTATTGTAAGACGAGTGTTTGTCTCTAAGGGAGCAGTAAATCTGTGTGAAAGCAAGAGGCAGTGGGGGTGATTCTGGGGCTGCTGAACGTTTGGAAAAGATTATTGCAGGGAAGTTTCCAGAACAAGTGCATTAACCATCTCTGATGTGACAGAAATATTCAGAGAGCAGGATAAATGTGTTGGTCGGGCATTGGAATAGGCTGCCCAGGGAGGGGGTTGAGTCCCCATCCCTGGCTGTGTTTAAGGGACGTTTAGATGTGGTGTTGGGGGATATGGTGTAGGGGAGAACTTTAGAGTAGGGTGGATGGTTGGACTCGATGATCCCGAGGGTCTCTTCCAGCCTAGATAATTCTGTGATTCTGTGTTACTGCTGTGGGTAACGCTCTCTAAATATGCACAATGCTCAGACTATGACAGTGACTGGAGCTACAGGAATCTATAGGCAAGCACGTCCATCATCTTATACATCTGCACGTAGTCACGCTGCAGTGGCCTGAGCTCTCATCGATTGGGGCCCAACCCTGATCCTCTTATACAACAAAATTAGTACTTTCCTGATGAGTCCGCTGCTTTTTCCAGCTTTAACTATTTGCATGGTGATGAGTGTGAAGGCAGGTGATGCAACAGCATCCTTCTCTGTCTTCAGTCTTGGTGGCTGCCCACAAGACTTCTGAAATGTGCCGTGGAAATGTGCCCCTGGTTGCGGTGGTGGCCCTGAGGAGGGTGGTGTGAACCAGGCAATGGCAGCAGAGGAACAGCTCTGGGTCCTGAGGATGATGCCAGACCACCACACTTCTTCTGTTTGTTTTGTTTTTAAGCAGTTCGGTTAAAAATGACTGGTAAGTTGTTCTTTATTTAAAAGTAACCAGCCAGTTCAGTAAGAATCAAACCCAACTCCAGTAGAAATTTATGCGAGCAAAAAATAATAAGTGCAAGAAAAGAGAAGAATGTGATCATTGACCAGTGCAAAGAGGAAGAGCAAACTCAGGCTATGGCACAGAGACTCTGGTTTTTCAAGGCTCAGATGTTCTGACTCAACAGTGAAGCTGGTAAGATGCTGCTGTTACCTCACACGTTACGTTATGGGGCTGCAGGGAAGGATCTGACAGGGCTGTGTGAGAAGGACATTCTCACTGAACATCTGAACGTTAGGAAGGAATAGACTTAGACTGAACATTAGGAAGGAATTTTTCACAGAGAGAGTGGTCGGGCATTGGAACAGGCTGCCCAGGGAGGTGGTGGAGTCACCATCCCTGGATGTGTTTAAGGGACGTTTAGATGCGGTACTGAGGGATATGGTGTAGGGGAGGACTTTGTAGAGTAGGGGAGATGGTTGGACTCGATGATCCCAAGGGTCTCTTCCAACCTGAATGATTCTATGATTCTATGACACGTGTGGCTACAAGGGCTGCCTTGTGCTGCTGAGGGAGGTCCTTCCTCGCTCACAAGGGGAAAAGCCACTGTGGTGTGGTAAAACTGGACATGGTTGGGGTGTTCAGAGTTGGGGAGACCCCTTCTGAAGCTTAGGACAGGCTGATGCCAGTACCCTTTTGTCCTGGCAGATGACTCCTTGGGGCTAAAAGCTTGCTTTAGGAGGCTGAAGGCAGAAATAGACAGCATGGGTCTATGAAACAGGGACTTCACATGGTTAGTGCTGTACTTCTTTGGGGCTTGCTGGTAGGTTAGTGCTGTACTTCTTTGGGGCTTGCTGACATCTCTTCTCTCAAGTCACAGGTGACAGGACGAGAGGAAATGGCCTCAAGTTGCGCCAGGGAAGATTCAGGCTCAATATTAGGAAAAATTTTTTCACTGAAAGGGTTATCAGCCATTGGAATGGGCTGCCCAGGGAGGTGGTTGAGGCACCATCCCTGGAGGTGTTCAAAAGACAGGTTGATGTAGTGCTGGGAGATATAGTTTAGTGATGATGCTCCTTGTTTGTTGTGTGGGTGTCTATTTTTGTCAGTTAGGTTGACGGTTGGACAAGATGATCTTTAAGGTCCCTTCCAACCTAGAAGATTCTGTGATCTATGGCTAAACTAGCAAAAAAAATAAATAGCTGAGAATCTGATGAACCAACTCCACTTTTTATTTACTTATATTTTGGAGGTGCATCAGAAAGCTTCTGCAGCTCAGATGAGTGGTTCCTGAGGTGGCCATGGGCTGCTCTCCTCAAATGCTTACCATTTTTACATAGAAGGAGAAGGAAGAGCAGCACATGCTAAACTTCAAACGTTCCTTCACCCCCATCCTTTTAAACTACATTTCTGGAATTGCTCCAAGTGACTCTTAGGGAAGGGTGTTAATGAGTAGAGGCACTGAGGGTGACAATGGGCACTTAGTGCATAATTTGGATGGCAAAGATTGAAGTAGGGCAACAGCAATACAGAAAATTTACTCCTACTCATTTTTAGTATGATACCTGTAGTGTAAAAAGTTGAAATGAAATGGTATTTTGGGTCAAGACAGTGGCTAATCAATTAACACTGGGCTGTGTTTGTGGGCTTGAGGAGGGTGGTGGAGGAACGCTGTCACTCCTAGAGCTTTTCTCTCTGTTTTACAGCAGGGTGTGTGCGTTGCAACCACAGCACACAACCACAGCCTTTCCTAGATGCTGGGCCCTCTTCCAGAGTCCTGAGTGATTCCATTGGTATTGCTATCATTTTTATTTCTCCAACATAATTTCAGGGTTTTGCTTTAGTTTTAGATTAGGATAACAAGGATCTGCATCCATTCAATGCATGTATAATGAAAACCAGCAGAGCTTTGCATACAGTTAATTACTCCATTTTCTGTTGCTGCCTAGTTAATGTATTGCTTTAAAAGCAGTTTCTGGATAGATGCCCAATAAAAGGATTAACAAAAATATAACCACCTTTTTACTATATCTAAAGATGTGTAAGAAAGTCATGGCAACAGAAATCAAACCATGCCACTACTCTCCCATATACCAAGGGAGATACTGGAGACCTTATTGCTCTCTACAGCTCCCTGAAAGGAGGGTGTAGAGAGGTGGGGGTCGGTCTCTTCTCCCAAGTCACAGGCGACAGGACAAGAGGAAATGGCCTCAAGTTACACCAGGGGAGGTTCATGCTGGATATTAGGAAAAAATTTTTCACTGAAAGGGTTATCAGGCATTGGAATGGGCTGCCCAGGGAGGTGGTTGAGGCACCATCCCTGGAGGTGTTCAAAAGATGGTTGATGAAGTGCTGGGATAGATGCCCAATAAAAGGATTAACAAAAATATAACCACCTTTTTACTGTACCTAAAGATGTGTAAGAAAGTCATGGCAACAGAAATCAAACCATGCCACTACTCTCCCATATACCAAGGGCCAATCTCACCTGTCCCCAGGGAAGTATTAAGATTGTTGGGGAAAAAATTGATAAAATTGCTAATTTACATGTTTATAAAATCAATGTAGGTGGTCAGAAAGAGTTGGCTTGTAAGGAATTTTTATGTCCTTGAAACACTTTAGCAAAGGGAAGTTTTGAAATAGAGGGAAAGGGTGTGACTGATGCTACAGAAAATCATGGGACAAATATTCCCTGCACAAGTCCAGCAGGTGACAGATGGGAAGTAGGCAATGGAGGGAAAAAGCAGGAGGACAGGGGCAGACTCTTTGTGAACCCAGAGGATGGAGCGATGGCTCCTGGCTTTCTCTGATTTTCTATATTCAAGATGCTAAAAGCAGTTAGTTGTGCAAAATCCAGGCCTGATATAAAGAGATGCTGGTTTTGAGGGTGCTTTGGAGCAGGGGCTGAAGCTGTATATTTAGTCGGTGCGCACGTTTTACAAACCTTGGGAGAACATCATGAAGGGGTCACCTAAAATGAAACCAACTTACTTATTTTCAACAGATCATTTCAACTTCAAATTGTGCAGGATGGGAGCGCGAGGTGGAATGTCCCAGGGGCTGTGACAACCTGTGCAGCGAGGTGACCCTTTGCTGTGTCAAGTGTGAACAGCACCAAGTGTGAGTTTGACAAGACAAAAGTCAATCCCTCCCCTTCTTCCCCCCACCCCTTAATAACATCAGCAAATCGTGGTAGTGCCTGCAGGGGTTCTGCACAGAGTGGGACATACCTCCAGGAGGGTCTGTCCCCTTCTATTTACAGCAGCAGACAAGAAAAGGGAGAGAACCAGCAAACATTCCTTCCTTTCAGACTATTTTCCATCTTGGTTCAGCTCACTATGGAGTTTAACAAAGGTGGTAAGAGTGATCCTGGCTACAGCAGCTCTATATAAGCAAATATCTAAATTATTTCCAGTAGAAGCATAAGCCAACTGAGCTGCAGCACTGCTTGAACTGGAACGCTTTATCTCTACTTGTTTAGTTGGATGCTGGATATTGGCACATGCTGGTATTTGCTCTGTGGTGTGTCTTCTCCTCCACCCCACCAGGAAACAGCAAAACAAACTTCCCTGTTGCCCTCAGAGGGGGGGAATTAGACACATGGAAAAAGGATCAGCTGTAGGTGTAGCTGAAGAGGCAGCCAGGGTGGTGGTGTAGAGAGGGCAGGGTGACAGTGCCACCTCTCTTCAAGCCATACCCCACAAGAGCAATGACAGGATGAATAGTCTGTGCTTGGTTCACCAGTTTTGGACCTGGGATATTTTAATAGTCACTTATTAGCTACCCCAAAATGTGACCAGACTTTAAAAGCTCTTCTCAGAGCAAAATAAATTTCCACTTTCTCTAGTGAGTGAGGCATATAGTTACTGCAATGATATTTTATTTGGTTTTCCTCTCTCATGCTAATTTCAGAAGGGAAAAAAAATTTATCCCAAACAAGTGTCACCTTTTTACTTGTCCTGTAGCCCCACCTTCTTCCTGATTTTTACTTATTTTTTTTTTTAAAGTTACATAGGCTTGCTGGCCTGGTTTTGACAGTTGCATTCACAGCTCTTTGCAAGTGTGGGATTGCTGCTGGAGTTTATCGTGGCTCCCACTGTTGCAAATTTGAATTAAAATGAAGGCTACTGCAATGTATCATCACCCTTTTAGGTACCACCCTGATCTACTGGCAGTTTCTGGGTTGTGGGGCCAGACCCTTCCCCCCCGCCAAGGACACACTCATGAGTGAGGGACACAGTCTGACGTGGATAGAGGCTACACATCGACAAGCTCATTGATTCTTAATTTATCACCAACAAATAGGCAATGAACGAACCTCAAAGAACTTCTTTGCTGTATACCTGGGATGCCTGCTCCCCTCTGCAACGGGAGCAAGGGGTAGGTTTAAAGGATGATATCGTAAACTCGTCCCACTCTCCCCAGCCATTCCCGCACGGCCTGGCGCACCCGGATGTCGGTGACGTGGCAGGTGAGCTGGCTGATGCAGGGGAACACGGCCGGCTGCAGGGCTGTGAAGGTGGGGTCTGGCAGGGCCTGAATCTGGTTGAGGACTGTCAGCACCATGTTGGTCCAGGCCTACGAACACATTGGGATACAACAGAAAGACTCTTTAGAAGGTCATTGGAAATAGAGGAGCCCACCGCTTGAGGCAGAAAATAAGATCTCTGGTGGTTGCAGCCTCACGAAGAGAACTGAGTAATGTTGGTGAGTTTATTTAACTGTTGCTGCTGCTTTCTTTTCTTGTACTCTGTCATGAGCTTGGAGATAGTTTTGTCAGTGGCTATGGTGTAGATCTTGTTGCCAGCACTCTCCCACCATTCTTTTTTCCTCGTTTGCTCTTTTTTCTCTGATTTAGGACTTAGGGGTGGGGGTAGCAGCAACATTTCTCCACTCCCTCCTCGGGGTGTCAGGCTGTCTCCCAGTGGGTCCCTGATTTGACTCCGGTCATCTTCTGACGGTGTGTCTTTTCCAGATTGCCCTCCGGTCGACGGGGTGGAGGTTTCTGAGTAAAAGGATGGTAAAATGAAGAAAGGGTCACCTCTGAACACTGGAGGCTCCTCTACGTTATTCTCCAGGTCCAGATGCATCTGGATATAGTTGTTGCAAAGTTCCATACAGAGCTTATGAAGCCTCTTGATCAGCCATCCCCAGTCGGCGTTGCTGACGGGCTGCACGCTCAGGGATGGTATTCGAGCCCTCCACTGCCTCTTCTCCTTCCCTCGTGGGGGACTGACCTGGGCAGTTTCTTCAAAAATGTCTTCATCTTCTGAAGAACACTGCTGTGACGAGTCCGTGCTTCTCTCATCGTCTTCGAAGAGGATCTTCTTCACTTGCTCTGCAGTGATGTTCTCCTGGTTCGTCAGGATCGCGCAAACCAAGGCATGGAAATAGATGTTGAAGCTCATGGCTGACTGGCGATACAAGTTGGCAGCTCCACTAATGCCAGACACTTTTTTCAGCAGACACTTCAACCCGGGCCTGGTGTCAAACTCCCTGGCTGTTCTGTAGGAGTCCAGCAGTAAGTCAAAGATGACAGCCAGGTTTTGCATGGAGATGTACCTGAGAAAACCAGCCAACTTGTTTTCCGGTACTTGGATCGTCATTTTCTCCTCCAAGTTAGAAGGGCCTTTCACAAATTCTTCCAGTAAGATGTCATATAAATTCTGGAGCAGTACTTGGTGGGACAGCAAGCTCACCACTATCGTCCTGAAAGGAATACTTGGTGAAACCAAGCACGGGAAGGAAAAAAAGAAAATAAAATTAAAATGGTGCATTGTGCTTTTACGAGAATACTTCATATTTTAGAATCTAACATGAAAGATGCAAATGAAAGGCCGAATTTTCAGAGCCTTGTTACAAAGTGTAGGAAGATAAAAGTTGTCTAGAATGGTCTTTCAGCTACTCTTTCAAGTGCTTGCTTAGAAGGGAAGACACTTAATGTTGGATAAGAAAAATAACTGCCCACAGCAAGCACACTAACAGCACTGGTACACAGGTGCTATTAATGCTCTATTGTAACTTTTGTCTCTTTCTCCAGAATTTCTCCAAATTCTCTGTTTCAATTTCACGGCAGCTGCAAATATGCTCAGTATTTCAGCCTGCTGTATCTGAGGAATTTGTTAACACACAAGTTATGCAGCATTTCTGCTGTTGGTCCTTGGCTATATTTTCTATTTTTGTTGCTGAACTTTGGCTAAGTCGAAGTACCCTTAAAATTCCTCCACCGGCATTTCAGCAAACCTTAACTTGACAAAGTGAGACCCAAACTAATTTTAACACTCTCTTTCCATTTCCACTAACGCCAGGAGTGAAAAGAAAACAAAAAGCCAACCAATACAAAAAAAATTAAAAAATAAAATCTACGGAAACATCAGCAGTGCAATGGGGCATGCAAAGAAGCTTGAAGTTTGTTGTTCTAGGTGTCCCCTGATTTTTGACCCCCGGCCAAAGTTTTTGGGTCATTCACTAGTAAATAACACCGAGAGGCTGACAGGGAAGGGAGGCTTAGGAAGAAAGAGGGAGGACAGGATCATTGTTTGGAATCTCATGGATTTAAAATTATAAGCTGTGAAACCTATTTTAAGGCATTTTTTTTAAAAAAAAGGTCTTTGTATAAGGTTACAGCAGCGATGTTATAAATGAAGCTGATGCTCTGGTACACATAGTAATGCTTGTTCTGATTTAGGGAACTATGATGGGTCACATTTTAATTAGCACTGCTGTCTAGTGAGGAAGAGATCTTTCAGTTTGCTTGCAATACTGAAGTTTTACATCTAAGTCAATCTTCGAGTAACGAGATGTTCAGTTGGAGGCCTTTTAATATTTTTGTTGCAAAAATTATTCTACTTCCGTGAAACAACTTTCAAAAGTGTTTTCAAAATACCAAAAAGTCTATTTTTTTTTTGAGAAATCACATCAAAACTCTATTTTGAAATGCGACACTTGAAAAAAAAAAAGCCAGAAAACCACATATTTTAACTCTCAAAATTTTGCCTTATGTTAATTTACTTATAAAAGCACACAAAAGGTCCCGAGTTAAAAAAAAAGACCAACAAAAAACCAAACCTCCTGAGGCTTTTGAGGGATTACCGTATGCTTTGCCATGTAGAAGCTATAGGTTAATCAAAACTGTGCTTCCAGGGTTAATTTCCCTATGATAGCTCCCTTACCATGACACAGCTGTCTGGGATGATATATCAGTAATATTTAATAATCTTATTATCTGACAGTGCTAAAATCGTGACGATTAACACAAACACTGGAGCTTTTTATGGGGAAGCAGTTTTCTAATGTAAAAATCATTAGAGGCTGTGACTCAGAAAAGCTCTGAAGAGCATGTTTAAAGCTAAACGAGTGTTTGCATTGATTTCAAGAGACTAATCCTGTTCCAAAAGCAGGATCAGAATGGAGAGCTGCTTTTGCTTCTAATAGCCAAAAAGTCAATTTCCAAGGACAGTTTAAAATACTGCTCAATTCCAAAAGAAACCAGTACAGAGGTGAAAGAGCTATAGGTGAGCTACAGGTGAAAACACACGACACCAAAGCTGGTTAAGGACAGTATTTCCTTATTCTGCCCAAAGTTTTGAACTGAAATACATCATTACTTTGTAGGAAGAAGAAAAGCTCCCTTACCCCAGCTTCCTGCGAAACGCGGCGGCATTAAGGAAACAAAAGCAAAAAGGGAGAAGAGAAACCCCACTGAGGTTAAAATAAAACTTTTGGAAGGCCACAGTTAGTAGCATGCAAGACTGGCATATTACTGCCCTGCTGTAGCAAATAATATGAAAAACAGTGGCACGGTCAACTTTTGAGCCCTGTTTTGGTGAAAAATGAGCATCGCTGGGGTTACACTTGCCTATGGGCACGTACGCTTTTTGCAGTTGTTTAGACAAAGCTCAGGGTGAGGGCATTCAGAGTTTGTGTTAATTGCAAGCTTTACTCATTTAGTTGTTGAAAGACAAGCAGCCTGTTAGATTGTATGGCCTTTAGTCGCCACGAGAGGGGAGAGCTCCCCCTCGTTTGCTTTGCGTTCATTATAACAAGAAGAATGATTTGCCAACCTTTGGAGAAAGCAGCTATTTGCCCACCAAGAAGGAAGGGTTTAGACCTTGATCTCAACCTTTCTTCGTCTCTGCTGGTGGGACCCTGGACCTTGATCTCAACCTTTCTTCGTCTCTGCGTGGGAGATGCAACCTTCTCTGAAGGTTGAGGCAACAGAGCACCCGCTCTTGGGGGAAAGTTCTGTGAATAAAGACATCATCTTGCATGGTCTTTCTTCCTGCCCATCCAAAGAAGGACCATCGCATTCTGGCTCCTTGTTGCAAGAAATAGTTTAGTTTGGAATGAGAAAATGCCTGAAGTGGTACAGAAGCAGGTTTGGTATCTAGTAAAAGACAATATTTCACGCCATGAATTACATACCTTGCAATACCAACACAAACCCTGAATGCAGAACTCCAATTCTTGGCCCTATTGACGTTACAGCCATTGTTTAAACAACCAAGTGCAAGCAAAAAGAAATATTCTTTGACAGGATCAGACTGTCATGGAAATGCATGAGTTTCTGAGGTGGTAACGTATAGAAGGACTTTCACAAAAAAATAAATTGCCAAGCAAAAACCAACGTTCCCTAGATCAGTATGTTGACAGTTTCACAGCTTTGGATGTGGTCTCTTCAATTTACACTGCTCCAGTTTATCCATTAACTTTTTCTACCTCCTTAATCCAGTAATACCGAATTTAAAAGACCATTAGTGAAGCAGACATTGCTTTCATTTGCAAAGGTATCACTACAAACATAACAGTACTTCCAAAGCTTTCTTCAAACCGGTATTTTTAACTCTACTTCTTAAAGAAAAGAATTTCAATATTGGAAAAATTTTCCTAGTATTTCCTATGAGAATTGTTTTCTTCATTTCATCTGCATTTTCTCTACTTGAAGGCTTTGTGTGACTTATGTATCCTTCAGGTATTTGTAACCTAACAGTTTTTACTGTCTATTAGAAGTATTTTCCTTCTTTAGCTTTCTAAGGGCTGCATTATAGACCCTGGCACAGGCTTGTCTGTAACTAACAGCTCTTGCATGTGCCTTCTCACCTGTGTGTGATCATGGAAACATTTGGAGTGCAGACAGTAGTAAACTATTGTCTCCTGTGTCCCAAAACCTAATTTTTATTTGATGAGACCTATGGAGAGGTATGGTTTGTCAGGCTCTGTTCACACCTCTGCCAGCCTGACAATATTTTTACCTTGCTTTTAATGGCATAGTATTTTGCTGAGGAGATATTTTACCTTCTCTGGGTATGCCCATTGGGTTTCTTATCTGATGGCAGGTCAATGATGAGCACGCACGACTGGGCATGTTCAAACCCTTCCTTGTTGCTAGGGGTCTTTGGGGAGCACTGAGTCTCCAGCATGAAGACCTAGAAAAAAAAACAAGTTACATAAAACAATGAGTTTAGCACTTGCACTGCATCCTTGGGGCAGGGGGCTGAGAATGAATAGGATTTCCTGCATTGTGAGAGATCTGTTGTGATGGTTTACTTTACAGTGATGGAGACAACACAAGGTATCACCCTGGGCAGACCTTCTCTGGAGTGTTCTGCTTTGGTAGAACAGGCTCAGAGCCATGGACTACCTCCAGCCACCCAGCAGAGCAAGGACAAAGGATGGACATCTTTTTCTTTGAACTTGTACATGGCATAGCACCAAATGCCAAAAAAAACCCTTCTGCTGTCTGTATGCTATCAGAAAATATGTACAGTGGAGACAAGGATCTGTTTGCATAGTTTGCCTGTTGTACCTAAAAAAGTTGGTTGATGGAAGGATTATTTTCAGCCATAAAGATACAACAGACACCCAACTTGCAAGTCTTTGAGTGGGAAATGGGGAAACAGCTCTCCATTGCTGTAGCTTTGTTTTGTATCATAGCAGTTGTGTCAAATCCCCACTGAGGAGGACTCAAGCAAGTGGCACCAATAGTCCACAAGAAAAGTATAAATGACACATTCCCTGCTTTCTTAAGTTCTGCATCTTTAAAGTGTTTTCTTTTTCCTATTTGAAGTCTGCCACTTCCCTGTTACTTGTGATCTCAAACCCTGGTCTGTGTGTCTCAAATTTTCAAGCAGAATCAGGGAATGATTAACCAAGTCAGAAATTGCCACCAAACATCTGTTGACTCTTTTAATCCAGCTGCTTTCCCAAGCTGGAACTGTCATAGGGTATTTCCAGTTTTATGGTACCCTGCAGGTCATTAGGTTCAGTCTGCTGTAGTTCACACAACTTGTTGCATTTAACCACTTTCATAAAATGAGCAACCTCCGTTGTAGTCAAAAGGACCCCGAGAAGGTTGTCTCCACGCTTGCTCTGCTGACTAGGGGTTAGTGGTGAGATTTAAATCATTTGTTAAATGTCAGCATTATCCTCTAGTTCTCAGTAACTCTTTTTCTTTTCTGCAATCTATAACCAAGTATTTATAGAGAAAGAAAAAAAAATCTGCATTCCCCTTTAAACTCTGCTTTGAGAGGTTGAAGGAATCTTGTTTTCTAGCTTCGTTTTTTGCCCTCTGAAGTTATTATCCTTTAAAAGGGTAATTAAAAACATCTATGACGTTTCTTGATGAGAATTCATAGTGCCACTACTATTTCCTCTTCTCTATCAGAAACGTTTCCACTGATGTGTGCTAGGATTGCCTTTTTTAAAGATACGTTACCCAACAGGCTCATGGTCAATCCTCCTCAGGAACTGCATCTTCCCCCACCGTTCCTAATTCCTACTTACAGGGGGGCAGTTTTATGGGGTATTTTCCCTGGTTTTTATTATTTTTTCTCAATACTACTGTTAGACAAATGTTAGTCTGGTGACGAGGAAGTCTTTGCCCATAGGGCTTGTGAGGAAGCCGGTGGTAAACGCGTAGTTTCATAAAGAAAAGGCCCAATTTTAAAAGATTCTCAGCCTTTCCCCGGGGAAAGGATCACTCAGTACCTGTTGTGCCATGGCTCTGATTCTCCAGTACTCGGCTTCAGCACTTGGCGAGAGGGAGGGAGCTGCCACCTTCACTTCACAGGCGTCTCCACTAAAGCTTTCGGAACCACTGTGGAAATAGCCCAACAGGTTCTATAGAGAGACACAACATCACACTTTCACTGTGCGTTAACTGAACTCAGCGACTGTAGAGATGTCCGGCCTGTTCACGTGGACAGGCTGGATGGATGGGCTGAGACCAACGGGATGAGGTTCAACAAGGCCAAGTGCTGGGTCCTGCACTTGGGTCACAACAACCTACAGGCTGGGGGAAGAATGGCTGGAGAGCTGCCTGACAGAGAAGGACCTGGGGGTGTTGGTCGACAGTCGGCTGAACATGAGCCAGCAGTGTGCCCAGGTGGCCAAGAAAGCCAACAGCATCCTGGCCTGTATCAAGAACAGTGTGGCGAGTAGGACCCAAAAGGTGATCATCCCCCTGTACTCAGCGGTTGAGTCACCATCCCTGGCTGTGTTTAAGGGACGTTTAGATGGGGCACTGAGGGATATGGTGTAGGGGAGAACTTTAGAGTAGGGTAGATGGTTGGACTCGATGATCCCGAGGGTCTCCTCCAGCCTAGATGATTCTGTGAATACAAGATTCGGAGTGATCGGTCTCATTACCATCAGCTGCTGACCTGCTATTTAACATTTGATGAGTTTGATGCAAAGGCATTACAATTTCTTACATAGTCTGGCCTGCGATGACTTAACAGGATTTTTTTGTTACAAGAAAGATAGTGAGGTGAGAAATAAATCTATATGGAGCACGTACCTACGGCATCGAGTATGGAACTTTGTCTTCTGTCTAGTTTTAGCCAATCCAGAGGAAGAAATAGATCAAAAGGTAAGTTTTCACCTACTAAACTCTTCTGATTTTGTGCTGGCAGGGCAATTTCAAATAAGTCTGAACTACTAGTGACTAGTGTTGTTTGCACGTGTTTAGAAAAATGGATTTCAGTCTCCATTGTTGATCCAACACCTTTCCTTGAGAGTGAACTGTCAAAATAACAAAAGCCACCATGTAATCCTTATGTTTCTTTTCTTGGCTCTGTACTCAAAAACTTTACCAACCTGTCAAAAGTTAGTGAGTCTGTAATTTGTGTGATTACATTTTGACTGTCAGCAAAAAGGCAGTTTACCTTTACTGGCTCCAGAGTGGCCGAGAAGGCGTCCTGCAGGGCGCAACACGCGAGTCTCCACATCTCTTCAGTGAACACAGGCCCTGCTGTCACCAACACGTACCTGCAAGGGCACAGGAAAACATGACCACATTCAAGAAGGAACTAAACAATTCACACTTGGAATGGGAGAAGGTTGAAAAGAGAAAAAAAAAAAGCCCTACTCAATAGCTAGCTCATGATACCTAATCTCCTCAGGTGTTACCCTGACCTATTTTTGTTATTACACTGTAGTTTTGACTTTTTTTTCCCTTTTGCTTTTCCTCTTTCAGTAGTCATCTTGCCAGGACAAAACCCACACGTTGTGTAACTATATAATGCAGTGCTTGTTTTGGTTATGACTCTAACAACCTGAAGACTGCGAAAGGTATTAATTACCTCTAAAGAGCTGTGAATTCCAACAGAAAGACACTTGATTAGTTTTCCTAAGGATTAATTATTGACTAACTGCATGTAAGCAATGTACAAGTGCTTTTCCTGGGAGCAATACACATAGCAATGCCTACAATCACAGGTTCTGAAGCAGAGAGAAAACAGCAAGAAAAGCTTAGTAAGTCTACAATTCATTATTTCAATAACAATAGATATATTGTAGACTTCTTTGTAGACACTGGGGTGCTGGAGGGGGTCCAGAGAAGGGCAATGAAGCTGGTGAGGGGTCTGGAGAGTAAGTCTTGTGAGGAGAGGCTGAGGGAGCTGGGGGTGTTCAGCCTGGAGAAAAGGAGGCTGAGGGGAGACCTTATTGCTCTCTACAACTCCCTGGAAGGAGGGTGTAGCCAGGGGGGGTTGGTCTCTTCTCCCAAGTCACAGGCGATGGGA